TTTATTTGCTAACATCACTCTGCCTCACTCCTCACCTTCAGCTCTGCCTGTCACACCTGCTGCTGCGTCATGTTTTTTATCAGGCGTTTGGTCATCGCCTCTCTGCTGCTTTCATTTTCTTGTTCTCTCTGGACCCTGACACTTTTTAGGGGCTCCTGAGTTTTGGTGAGGCATTCTGACTTAGCTAACCAGGCTGCAGTCCGTCTCACATGTTTACATTAGTGGCACTTGTGAGTTCTGTGCATTGCGAAAGTCTGTAAGTAAAGTGCTGTACTTGATCCCATTTAAGGGTCTTGGTCTTTGACTGGGGTCATCTGTACCTTTTGACCTTCCCTGACAGTGAGCCTGGTGCATTCACACAGAAAAAAATGAACTGAAATAATACTGGGGATTTCATATATCAAGATTGCATATATTTAGATCCAATGAAACTTAAACTCTGTCATCAGTAAACATCCAGACGTCTCCAAATACGCTCCGCATAACTGGAGAACCTGCCTGAGAATCATCACGTTTTTAAGTTTTCTTCAGTAACACAGTAAACTAGTGATGGTTGTCTGTACATCCATTGGTCCGCTGCAAACAGGAGCTGCTGGTAGTTCATTCAGTATTCTTTTATGTCACTATTAACATATTATAGGCTCAGAAAATGAACAGACTCCATGGCAGCATTATCCTCCCGCCAGCCTGTAAACTGGGAGGTAGATGGGTGTGCTCTGGGGATTCAGCTGTACTGACAAGAAGCTGTGACCTCTGACCTTCGACCTTTTCCACTGTAACTCTCCTGTAATGTTGAAAGTCACTGTGGGAGCTGAGGCCGGTCCCACTGTGGAGCTCAGTGGAAGTGAAACCGCCGGGTCAAACTGCTGAAGTGGAGAAACTGAAATTGTGTTTGACGGCTCTGTTCGGTTTAATGGAGCTGATGTCTGTGTACGAGCCTGTACAGTCGCCTTGGCAACGAGATAGGGCTTTAAGAACATACACGCACTGAGCACGCTGATGTGATGTAAGTGAGAGTGTTGGTTCGCCGCCATCGTCGGTCACTGGGGTATGTGTGCGTGATGATGAGGTGTATAAGTGGCGGGTGCACCTGGAAATACCTTTGTAGGTGATGATGAGGTTGTCCAAATTATACACACACACACACACACACACACTAGCCTGCAACACTGTTTTATTCTCTTAGCGGAGAGTCTTTAAGCACTGATGGATGTTAAAGACCTTTGTGTGCATGTGAGTGTGTAACCTCAGAGTCGGTTAACCACAGCGCAAGACCTGATCCAGTCCTCTGTCTGTTCTCTGTGTGTCTCTGTGTGTCCTGTATGTTCTCTCAGGGTCACTTGCTCATTTTCACTCTCTGCCTCTGAATTAATACATTTGACTGATTCAAGTTAACTTTATTTTTTCTGTAATTCAGACTCACTTTTACTTTCTCAACTCCATATCTCATATTTCCTCTGTTAAGGTTCGTACACACTGTGCAGCACTCCCCTTTTCCTTCTCCACTCTGTGGCCTGTGTCCACATAATGTTTTTCTTTAGCAGAAAAGCAGTGGCAGGGCAGGGCACTCAGGAGCACTTCATCCCAGCGCTTTTTATTATGACGTGCTCCGCATGGGTCTGTTTCGATGACAACAATTTCTTGACACTGACGTCAGCTAGGTAGCTATTGCAATGCTACATTAACAGAGGGTTGACTACACAGCCAGTACTCCAGTCAAGCTTGCAAAGCAACTGGAGACAAAAACACAGCACTCCACTCACCAGCAACATCCAGAGTCCGCCGGCTGATCTGCTCTTAAAAATTGAGCTTTTCTGTCTTCACCGTGATAGCAGACAGTAGCCTAGCTAAAGATGCAGCAGTGACGTCACCGACACCTTCCTGAAAAGTTCTGAGATTTTTGATTTAAAACACTCAGAGCGGCCGCACAAAAAAGTGAAAACAGATGCTGGGCACGGTGCTTTTTCTTTAGGTGGCTGCATAGATTCTGTCCTCACCAGTAACCACTGAAAACGAAAGATGCTGAGAAGAATATGAAATAATGTAGATGATAATGTTTGATCCAATGCAGGGGCAGGTAACCTGCAGCTCTGGAGCTGCATGCCGCTCTTTAGCCTCTTGCCAGTGTCTCAGTGTAGTGTCATACATCTATGACTCTCATTTATAAAAGAGTGTGTACAATCAGGCTTCCAACTCACCAAATGTTCATAAGCATGGGTCAAAGTTTCTCCCATCAGGTCTGTTTTTCAGATAACAACTTTTGCATTAGTTAGCGGTGGAATCTCCTTTGCTAGACTAGCTATTGATTATAAATCTAGAAAAGAAAAAGTCTCAGAGGAAAACAGAGAACCTAATGGAGAGTGGACAGATTTCCTTGCTTTCACCACCAACACTGCAAAGTCTCACTCTATCTGAAAAATACAGATTTGACTGAGTTATGACTGAGTAGTGTAGATGTAATCTGGCGTGAAGGATTTTAAAATATTCTCCACACTCTCAAAAGGAAACAAACTTACATACAGACATCTGTGAAGTATGACTATTAATTTGGGAACCTTGAATGCACAACATCTGGTAATCCACATATTCAGCTGCATTATCAGTCTTGTGTGTCCATGTTGTGTGTAAATGAGGCTCTGATGGGACTTGAACCCCCAACCTTTAAGCTCCTAATACGTACTTGTGCTATCCATTGTGCAACAGAGCTACATGCCTCCACATCCATTCCTCATTCCTCTCTGAGTCCCCGAGGATTTCTGTCCACATTCAGCCCAGTTTCTCAGGAATTACGTCCATATTGCACAACTTCACACCTCGCAGCGTATATCCAGAGCAACATTTAGAGCCAATACAGACAACAGTGTGTCTTTTATGTAGAGGGATGAAAAGTAAAAGTGTTAGATAGGTGTCTGAATTGAACGCAGGATAACAGAGGTGTCACAAACCTACAATTAAATGTCACCTTTTTATGAAGTATAACCAAATCAACTCCCCAATGTTACCCAAGTGTTTTAGTTCAGCTGAAACCTAACCCAGCCATACCTTACTAGATTTACCACAATCCAATATATTTTAAAAGATTGGTTCGTATACAGTCTACAACATCCTCTCATACTTTTAAAGAGCGCTGTTGAAAGAATATAATTAGATTATTACACTACAAATTAAGAGCAAATACCTGTCTATAGCACAACCATGTTGGAGAAGATGCGGTCCGGATGTGGATGTGGGAGTGGATGTGTTAAGAGAAGTCAGAGAAGGCAAATTGTTAAAAGGCCATCATGAAGAGATGATACAAGGAAGAACTAAAAACACAAGATGAATGGTTAAAAATTGTGAATGAAACATGATATGGAACTGTTGACCAACAGGATAAAGACTCAAGAGGAGCGATGTTGAGAGAAATGGGAGAAACGGACAATGTTTTCGTGTCAACGACAAGATGAGAGATGGAGTCACTGACTATGTCACAGAGATAATAACAGAGCAATCCAAACCATTTATTTGTTTACTTATTTTTTGTTTGTTTGTGTTTTTGTACTCTTTTGTCAGTCCTTTTATAACATTTTTTAAATGTAAAATAAATCTGAAGCGTAAAAAAAAAAGAACAGTTTGTATGATATCCTATGAATTTGCAGCCCACAAATTACAGCAATGTAATTAACCTGAAGTTTCTGAGGAAAGGTTTAGGAAAAGAAACACTTAAAATGACTCAAGGTTCACACGGATCCGAACACGTGACCTCAGGGGAAAGTCTGTTTTTTGTGACCATTCCACCACCCCAACCTACCTACGTACAATCGCTGCACTGATTGCAGCCTTTCAAAATATGAGATATGTACGAATTTGGGTGCATGGCTTTTCATAGTCAAGTCACTAATTAATACCATAGTCTCCTGCACAGATGCTGAAGAAAGTGAGAGCTGTAAAAATGTCAGCATCAGATGTAATTCAGGGTCTTACAGATTCAACCAATGTTGATGTGTTGTTTGGCCTTATAGGACTGCTATACTGTAGGATAGTATAAGCTTCAAAGCTTAAACATGATCTTTTCTGAACCATATCCAAGTGTTTTTTTCTGCTTCTCTGGTGATTGAGTTGATGAATGAGCTCTGTGTGAAGGATCAAAGAGCAACTGGAGGCCTTGATTGATCATTGTAGAAAAAGTTAATAAGCTCACAGCATAGTGACGCACTGATCCATGAGACAATCGATCAAAATATTCTGCCTGTGTGACACTTTAACCACAGACTGTCAATGGGCGTTGTAGTTCTTAACAAAAAACGTTAGGAGCAACACGTGAAAAGATTTTTATGGGTTTAATTTGGATGAAGAACGAAAAAAGTTTATTGAATACTGGTTTGTAGTTTGTAGTGATGGACAATCTGCAGGTGTTGTCACACAAGGATTTAAACCTGCAACCTGCAGACCACTGCTGCATCTGGCTTGTATTACTGACACCTCTGAACCCCCTAAACCCCCTCACCCAAACACCCTCTCCGCCCCCTCCTCCCCACCTGACCCACATCTCTCAGTTGTTCAGCAGACAGCTGCAGAAACACTCGTTTGACGTACGATGGACTAATTGGGTCAATCTGTGTTACTATATCAATGACTTTGTAGGAGGCCGTTTTCCTCGAGTGGACACACACACACACACACACACACACACACACACACACACACACACGCAGCAGTTAAGAGAAGAGACCACATTCTTGTCTTCCAGCCAAACATTACATATGTCCTCACAGAGAATTCTTTTATACGGACCTCCTCTTCTTCTCTGCTGTGAAACAAAGACGTGTATAAAGGTTTTTCCTTTTTTCACCTCCTGATGCTGTGTGTGTGTGTGTGTGTGTGTTAAGTCTCTTTGTGCCGCTGCTGTGCTTTTATGTTGCAGAAGAAGAAAAACCACAGAGAAAGAATGGCTGATGAAAGGGGATGTTGAGACAGAGAGTCAGTGTTGAAGCTAACCAGGATTTTTTTTTCCTTTCCAGGTTTCTACTCCCTGTGACATCATCGCACCATGCCTGAGGGGTCACGGCGTGGCAGCCAGAGATCGCCTAGCAACACAGGTAAGGGGTGGGGCTTGTCTAGGTGACCCTACAGACGTATCTTAGAACTTTTTGGGGAGGAGAGAACAGCAGCATAACTATTGCTGCATTTATACCTAGTGTCCACACTGCTCCCCTGAGACAGGGTCCTTTGGAAATACTGTTGACCAGTTTTATTTTGAAAACTCCAGGGATGCCCATGTTCACCTCCCAGTTGGGTCTTATCAGTCACTTTGTTTCAGGCCAAAACATTAAAGCTTGGTCTATATACCTTCTGTGATTTTACTTTCCTGTGTGGGGGCTCCTTACCTCTTGGCATGGTCTCTTCCAGCGATGGATAATGCTCCCCGCTTATACCTCTGATAGGTTGCCATATTTGCCTTGCAATGCCTCCCAGTGTTTTTTCTGCCACCTTGAACACCTGATACTCATGTGTTACTTTCAGTAACAGTTCCACCTCATCGTTGGTCCAAGCAAAGAAATCTGTGGTCTTACTTTTCACTATCGCCATAGTATTTTCTTTAACTTAACAACCAACTGCAGAATGGAAAATCTGCTTCCTGTTTACACCGTTTGCACTCATGTGTCCAGTGTGATGATCATGTGATATGCGTTTTTAGCAGGCTAGTGTGGACGGAGATTAATTCTTAAATGGTAAAAAAAAAAAAAAAAAAAAAAGAAAATGTCTTACGATCGATTTAATTTTAAAACGAAAACAAGTAAGAATGCATGTAGCCTTAGCTCGTCAGTCAGGGCCCTATCACACCTGATTTTTCAGTTTGATCTGAACCAAAATTACAAGTGTGAAACCGCCCCAGGTCATGGTCCGGAATAAACAGCTAAACCATGGCCCCATGAAAAGAGGTGGTCTTGGTCCAGTCAGTGTGAAAACATTTTTGATGATTTGGAATTTTGGGCCACTTACAGGAAGCTCTGGCCGTCTGTCATCAGGCCCTCACTCATCATTGTGCTGCTGTTCCCAAGTTAATAGATTTTTTTTTCTGGAGTTATTGTCTTAACATACTTTCTATGTGCAATGCACAGGGTTTTAAACTTTGGCCAGTAAAATGTCAGCTATGTTTTACTTCTTTAGACAAGCATAGTGAAGTGGGTTAAACCCGTGTCTGTGGTTGACCTGAATGTTTAAGCACATAATATTTATCCTGGTTCTGTGATTCTCTTCATGACTTGAACTGGACATTGGTCATTGCCTGCCCCCAGCAAGTGTCTCTGTTTTTTGGATACTGTAAATTAAACACAGGGTTAGGGTCTCACTCCCAACTCATCAAATACAGAGGTTTAGGCCGCAGCCCCAAGTGTCAACTTATGTTGGTCTGGATATACCTCGTGTGTTGGTTTGGATGTTTGGGAATGGCGTGTCGATTTATGCCTGTTACATGCGCTGTGTCTTTTCAAAGGACACTTCCATTTTCACAGGAAATGTACAGTTTCTTCAAGTTAAATGCATGTTGTCACTTCAAAATAAACTTTGAGCATTGTTAAAACACATTTTTAGGTTTACTTTCTTAGGTTTAGGTAACAAAAACACGTGATTAGGTTTAACTTAGTCTCACTCCAAAGTCGGTGAAATTTGGCACTTTGTCAATAAATTCCGGCGTCGGTGACTTATGTAAAAAGCTGTCTTTTGACGTCGGCATGATACACGGCTGGTTGCCGTTATTGTTTAACACTGCCTGGCGATATCAGGCAAAACGTGGCAGGACAACAATGAAAGTTAAGGAAAGATAAATTGCTTTCCCATGGGAAAGTTTCCCACTGCTGACCAAGTGTGAGTATTTTGACCTGGTTGGTAAATTCAACATAAACTAGTTGTCAAATAATGAAAAATAAATATGTCTCACATTTCAGCTAGAATCAAGAAAATAGAAATATTGAGGGTTGAGAAGCAACCTGCATCCTGTTTCAGCAGATTACAGAGTTAATTTAATATCTTGTGAATCACCACAGCTCTGATTCCTTCAGTCCAACAGAGTCAGGTCTCAGTCACCACTCTGCTGCTCTGAGCTTCTATTTTTAACATGTTTCAACATACCAACTGCAACTAAAACAAGACCTCAGGCTGCCATGTGGCTCTGTGGCGCAATGGATAGCGCGTTGGACTTCTAGTTGAACACGAGAGAAGTGATTCAAAGGTTGTGGGTTCGAGTCCCACCAGAGTCGAACTTTATTGGCATCGCATCGACTCAGAGATGAAAGATGTGGAGTTATAACACTGTTCAACCACTGGAACTTTACGTGCGTTTCATCCTGCTATAAAAACATTTGATTCATTGTGAATGTAAAGAGTCTTAATCAGAGCAGCTGTGAAGAGTTGGTCAGCTGTTCGCTTCAGTTAGTTGTTCTTTGTTATGAGTTTTCCGACCAAGCTGGAAGTCATTTGAACCAGATTTATTTCAGTGTTTTTTAGAGTCTCGGCTCAACTTTCTCCCCGAGCTGTGACTTCCTGTCACAAACCAGAGAGAGGCTGAGCAGAATGGACTGCTATTATACACAACACACACACACACACACACACACACACACATGCAGAGGCTCAGTAATGATGTGTAATTACACACAGCCACCATGCTGTTTAGTTGCTCCTCGGCTGTTATATTGGCTTCCATAGTTAGCATTCACACACACACACACACACACACACACACACACACGCATACACACATACACACACAACACACATGCATGCATGCATGCACACACACACACACACACACACACACACACACACACACACCCCACACACACACAGTCTCACACAGCACTGATTGTTGCATTCATGCAGACTTGGCATGTAGGTAGACACACACACACACACACACACACACACACACACACCAATATGGTCTGTGCAGGAAGTTGTATGGTTTGTGGTGATAAAGTGTAGCACTGAACAATGTTCTGCCCTCACACACACACACACACACACACACACACACAATAAAATGCCGATCTGTTGATTATAACCATAGAAAAGAACCAAGCAGAAAATAGAGAGAACGCCCAAGATAAGGCTGCAGAAAAACGGCAAGATGAAAGATAGAATAGAAACAGAGAGGAAGAGGAAGAGGAGGAGGAGGAGGAGGAAGAGAAGGAGGAGTGCACTAGGAATGAGGAGAAAGAAATGGAGAAACTGGAGAAATGAGGGAGAACAGAGGAGTCCAATTTTTTTTGGCTCTGGCTGTGTTCTGGTCTGTGATTGGCTGGATTCTGAAGCCTCCCTGCTGTCATTATTCTGATAACAAGAAAAGTCCAACAAAAATAAGTAACAGGCAACAAAGTCTGGACTGGAAACAAAGAGCGAACCCAGTCCTGACGACAGAAACATTCAGTCTGAGTCTGGAAACAGCTGCTGCCCTGCAGGAAGGTTACGGTGAATTTATTACAAACCAAAGATACTTTACATTTTTGGCTCCACTTCCCAAAGTAGACCACAAACTTTACTTTGTTAACCTTTGGTGGGAAAAATGTGTTCAAGTAAAGTAGAAATACCGACAGAGACCCTGAGAGGCAAGGTGAGAAAAAATGCTGACAGTGTTGCCAAAAACACCTACACTGGAGATGTTATCTACTACATACGGGATGCTGTATCCTAGATGGGGAATGTTATCTCCTATAGGAGATGTTATCTACTACAAACTGGATGTTATCTCCTGGGTACGACATGTAATCTCCTACATATGGTATGCTGTATCCTAGGTGGGGAATGTTATCGCCTATAGGAGATGTTATCTCCAACATATGAAAGACATCTCCTTTCAAAGATGTTATCACCAAATATGGGACGTTATCTTATATGTAGGAGATGTTATCTACTACAAACTGGATGTTATCTCTTAGGTAGACAATTTTATCTCCTCTAGGCGATGTTATGTCCTAAGTAGGAGATGTCATCACCTACATATGAGACATTATATCCAAGGCAGGGGGTGTTATCTCCTGTAAGAGATGTTATCGCCTACATATGGGATGTTATCTTACATGTAGGAGATGTAATCTGTTACATACGGGATGTCATCTCATATTGAAGATGTTATCTCCTACAAATAGGTTGTGATCTTCTATAGAAGTTGTATCTCCTACATATGGGACATTATTTCCTACTGGAGATGATATATCCTACATATGGGGCGTTATATGCTAAGTAGGGAATGCTATCTCCTACATATGGGATGTTATCTCCTAGGTAGGGAATGCTATCTCCTACATATGGGACATTATCTCCTACAGGAGATGATATATCCTACATATGGGGCGTTATCTCCTAGGTAGGGAATGCTATCTCCTACATATGGGATGTTATCTCCTAGGTAGGGAATGCTATCTCCAACATATGGGATGTTATCTCCTAGGTAGGGAATGTTATCTCCAACATAAGGGATGTTCTCTCCTAGGTAGGGAATGTTATCTTCTACATATAGGATGTGATCTTCTATAGAAGATGTTATCGCCTACATATGCGATGTTATCTCCTAGGTAGGGACTGTTATCTCCAACATATGGGATGTTACCTCCTAGGTAGGGAATGTTATCTCCTACATATGGGATGTTCTCTCCTAGGTAGGGAATGTTATCTCCTACATATGGGATGTGATCTTCTATAGAAGATATTATTGCCTACATATGGGATGTTATCTCCTATGTAGGAGATAAACTTCAGTTTTTGCAACATTGACTGAAAACCTCCGATTTTTTTTACCTTACCTCTCAGGGCCTCTGTAAATTCCAAAGAAGGAAAAACACAATTTCAAGCCCTGCGTCACAACAAAGCTCACATGAAACTCTTATTATTGTAAAATTTTATCTGGTATGAAAAATCAGAAAACTGTTTCCACATGTGATACATTACAAGTTTGAACTTTTTGTTTTTACTTGTGAAATATCTGAAAACAGGTTCACATCACATGTGAGTTTCAGACAACATATAAATTGTTAGATGTATTTCACATGATATTGTCTGTAAGATGTGGTTGAATTTCACATGTGAAAATATATAAAAACAT